TAGGTCAGAACAGAAAAAGGACAAGAGTGTGCATGTGTGTGTGTGTGTGTGTGTGTGTGTGCATGTTCACATGTATGCGTGTGTACTCGGGTACTTGTGTGTTAAGTCTGAGACAAGTAGAGATGTCAGAAGACAGGAGCAGAGCTGTGGAAACATAGATACTGTAAGGGAACAACCCTGGCTTGTCCAGTAGCCGATGCACTCAGGGACTTAACATCAGTGGAGGTACTCGGCCTCCATATGGGAAGCTGAAAGCAGTAACTGTATTCTTAAGCTGAGTTTATCATGTGGTTTCTGGAAACTCAGAACAATTTCAAGACTTTTCTCTGCCTCAAGGCCATCATTGCTTTGAATCTGCTTTTCTTAAAACTCTGTAAAAATAATTCCATTCATTCTTTAAAATGTTCTGTCATTAAAGCTCTGAGTCATTTTCTTACATTTAATTATTCTGTCTCCCATTTTGCTGATGGATCGGGTTTTCCGTCTGTTTCTATCTTGGCAGAGCGGTGACAAATGCTTCCCAAGCTAAAGTCTCTCTGTCCACTGCGGGTCAGACAAGTCGGGGGGTGACCATGGTCAGTCCTTCCACAGCAGGAGGCCCTGCCCAGAAGCTCCAGGGAAACGGTGTGGCTGGGAGTCCCAGTGTTGTCCCCACAGCTGTGGTGTCAGCGGCTCACATCCAAACCAGTCCTCAGGCAAAGGTCCTGTTGCACATGACTGGGCAAATGACAGTCAACCAGGCCCGCAATGCCGTGAGGACAGGTAAGTGGGACACTTGGCCGGAACACATCGGGGAAAGGGGTTAGCTGCCCGATATAGCACATCATGCATGACAAATGTTGAGAAAAGTTGGTGTGTATTAAAATGGTGAATATCGCAAGGAATTAGAAACAGGGCAGTCTAGTCAATGCCGCTTAATATTTATTTGGGCCAAGTCTGCCCTACATGTTAATGTAAACCTGATCTATGGAAATAATCTGGTCCTTAAGAATGCCAATAGCATGGTACTTCAGAGTATGACCTCTACAGTCAAGATCGTATGGTCTCCGATTCTCTGCTAAGTGGTGTGTTATTTTTGATGAACTTAGTCACAAATATATTGTGGATTCAATATGATCTCAAATAGCCTTGAAAACCTACCACGAGTCTTGGGAGGCAACTGTGGCTGATCTTAGTTTCTTTTCTCATTGCTGAGACAAAATACCCAACACCTAGAGTTAAAGGCAGAAAAGTTCATTGGGCTCACAGTTCGGTGCACCATCGGCTGGCTCCAAGGCAGCATGGCAAGGCAGACGCACATCTCAGAGGAGAAACAGACAGAAGATAGCAAAGAGAGCAAGCGGCCTTAGTGCTTTTTTCTGCCCCCTTTTGTAGTCTATCTAGGCTGCCAGGACTAGGGTGGTGCCAAACCAGTAAGTGGACTGATTTAGTAATCACACACCCTTAATCCTGGCATTATGTCATGAATCAGTCACACATGCTAGATTCAGCCACCTCTGAAAAAGCTACACTTATGACTGCATGAGGCTTTGGGGCAGCCTCTAGACACAGCCATAACAGGTACACTGAATGCTTAGGAAATCTGTCAGAAAAGGAAACATAGTGGTTAAATAATGAGCCCCGTGTGTGGCATGCACCTGAAATTCTAGCTACTCAGAAGGCTGAGGCAGGAGGAGTGCAAGTTTGAGGCCAGCTTAGGCAACATGGAGAGACACTAACTTAAAAAAATTTCTTTAAATAGTTAATAAAAAAACAGGAGTTGAGGCTGATATTGTTTGATACTGTAAAGAACTGTGAGAAACTGGCTCATTGCCTGTAATGCTATAGAAAGGTGTTGTGTAATTTAAAGGCCTCAGCTTCCAGATGCTCAACAAATTTGAAGGCTGAGTTGGGAAGAAAATAGTTTCTAGGGATCTAGGTAAGATTAAGTGTATGTAAACCACTATACATCCACCCATCTTTGTAAAAATGGTGACCAAAACCAGTCATTATGTTTGCTACAGTGAAATGATTTGTGTTTTTGGGGAGCAGTATTTGTAGGAAGCTGACTTCTGCTGTGTTCCCTCTGTCATCTACCAGTTGCAGCACATAACCAAGAACGCCCCACAGCAGCAGTGACGCCCATCCAGGTGCAGAATGCCGCCTGTCTGGGCCCTGCGTCTGTGGGGCTACCCCACCACTCACTGGGCTCCCCGCAGCCTCTGCTGCCCATGGCAGGCTCTGCTGCCCACGTCGCTGCTGTCACCATCGGTCGAGCCAGTGCCCCCCTGGCCTGCGCTCCAGCTGCTTCTGTGACCTCTGCAAGCATCACCACTGCCTCTCTGGAGAGTGAGCCCAGTGGTCGGGCAGCAACTGGCCTCCCCGGACTCCCCACATCTCCCGACAGTGCATCATCAGCCTGCGGGAACAGTTCAGCAGCCAAACCGGATAAGGACAGTAAGGTAAGCCCCGCTTCCTGTTGCTCTGCATAGGTAGTAGTGTCGCATAGTCTCTAGCTAATGAAGGGACTCATTGTTTCAAGTCAGGTGTTTGCATTTCAGGTGCAAGTGACTGCACCAGGTGCCAGGAATACAGTGGGGAGGAAGCTCATGCACCACCCTGTCCTCCTAGCTAGATCTGTTTCTCTGTACTTTGACACCCGGGAGGTGCCAGGCCCTTTCTTGGGTGTTAGGGAGAACCTAGTGAGTAAAATTAGTCAGACCTCCTCATGCAGCGTACAGATGAGGGAGGAATTTCCTTTTCCTTTTAGTTGTTCATTCTTTTATCATTTCATTGTCTCAATTTTTCTTCTTCCGTCTTGCTCGGTAAGAGTTCTGTTTAAAAAAAATTAAATATATTGAGGGCATTGCAACTATTGATCAAAAATGTTATTATGGATTTATGTGGTATATCTAACCATAATCTACATGTTTCCTTGAGAGATATGCCCTGAAATGCAGGGGGAAATTATTTTCTAGATCTGTAGCTTTTTTTCTTTTTCTTTTTTTAAATCTATCACTTGAAGCTAACTTTCAAAGAAAATAGAAATAGTTCTGTTTGAAAGACTCAACTGTAACTGGGTTTGGAGACATATGGTTGGAGGAAGGGGAAATTAATAATGTTTAAATATGAAAAGAAAGAGATGCCGAAAAAGGTCTGGATAATTATATTACAATCATGAATTTCCCCTTAGTGTTTCATGCGTTTCCCCTAAAGTTCTGAATCAGCATGGAGTAGCTCTCAGGTAATCATAAACTCTCAGTCACCTGGCTAGTGTTAACGTATGTGGCTTTATTTAAATGGTTAAGCCTGTAAATAGGAGTTCATAAGGAAATAAACTTTACAGCCTACTAAAAAGTTAATATTTATTTAACTTTTAACGGGAGAGTTTTTGAAAAAGATTGGTATCTGTTCAGTGTTTATAATTAACTGTATGAAACAGACTAAGGCTGACACGTCCAACTTTATTAATATTTCTTAAAAATTATTTTTATATTCGATTTTAAGGCATGGGCACAGTGTGTTCCAGGGCTCTGGTCACTGATGAGTGTAGGGGTTCTTCAGCCCTTGCCTCCCAGGACTCTCAGTAGAGAATTCACTGAATCTCTGAGGCTTGAAAGGTGCCTATGGCAGACAGAGCAATGGATCCCCAAAGATGTTCACCTTCTAGTACTTGGAACCTTTGAATAGATTTCCTTACTGGCTAAAAGCACTTTGCGTATGTAATTACACTGAGTTCTGAGATGAGGGAATTATCCTTCCCTGGGTAGGCTCATTGTCAAGTACACGGATTTTCTTGAAGGCAAGGCAGGAGGGCCAGGGTGCAAGAACGATACCGGGTGAGGACATAGATAGGAGCAGTGGAGAGAGGACACAAGCCAAAGAATGCAGGCAGTCTCTGGAAAGAGCAACAACCAATGGAGGACCTTGAGGGTCACTCCCTTTGGAACTCATCTCTAACAAAGGGCCACTGGGCTCTGCTCAGGCCTTTTGGTGACTGCAGGTGCCCTAGCACTGGGTGGTCCTTGGCCATCATTGGATAACTCCAACTCACTGGAAGTTTATTGACAGTGTTGATGTTTATCCATGCTGTCCTGAGACAGATACATCCCCTTGTGTCTTTATCTAAGAGTATACTCTTGAAATTGTTTTTGCCTATTCCTTGTGTCACAGATTTAAAATTTTCCCTTATTAAATCTACCACTATATTTAATGTTCTGGTTGATACTAATTCAGTAATTCCATGACTGTCATCACTTAAAGATTCACAAATCTTCATGACAAGAATGTCATTTAGTCCACATTTCTCCATCCTGTCCATAAGTGTACATGAAAAAACTTGCCAGATGGCACATTGGTGTCTAAATGTCTCTTCCATTCTCCCATCTAAACAGTTGACCCATCGTCTTCTGCCATTATTATATTTTTATCATTATATATTATATTATATTATTATATTCTGCCTATTACCAATAGATAATAAACATCTCGTGCAGGAGTCTCCTCCTCAGATTTCATTTCCTAAGTGCTCACTACCTATCATTTAATATATGCTAGAATTTCCCTGGTGGTGTGCAGAGTGCCCTGTTGTCTTCCTTTTGAAAGGTGGGACTGTACGCACCATAGCCATCTTTGCCTGTTAGTTGACCTTGATCCCAGATTCACTAGAACCCCTCAAAGATTATTGGTTGCATTTCAGTTGTTAATTTTTTTCCTGCATACTGAGGTGAACTCAGCTTGTCAAGAGTATTCATTTGATCTCTGAATCTTAATCCTTTCCGCCATTTACCTCGCCTTGTTTGTTTGAAAGGTTTGTTCCTTTCCAGCATGAAGTTTATCCTTCTCTTTCTTCCGCCCGTCTGAGAGCCACTAAACATTCCGCACAGCAAGGCTGTGTCTTTATTTTTTTTTATTTCAAACATAACTTTAAAATAGCCCTTAAAAAGATTTCTTTTGTCTTTATCATTTTGGCAAGTTTAAGCGTATTCTTTTTTAATTGCTATGGACTATGTTATATTCTTTATTATGGGCCCTTCCCTTGATCTTTTTGTACATGTCCTTTAAAAATTGGGCCCATTAAGCTGTTCCCTTGGGAATTACATTTCCTCTGCAGAGGAAATAATTTGCCATTGTGTGAGTAGAACTTCATTATCGAGAGCCCTCCCATTTCTCTGGAAACATATTCCCTTTTCAGTTTCATGGTATGCGTGTGTTTTCTTTTAACTTCTAAAATCAGCCTTTTTAAACTTTAGAAATCAAATCTATCACCAGTTTCTTTTTGGGTGCTTTCTTCTAAATTCTAGGTTTCCTGCTTTCTATACAAGCACGTTCAACCCTTGCCTGGTATCTTCCTCTCCTCACAGTTGATCTGAATTAGACCCAAAGGTGGACTTCACTCATCTTTCTTCCTATCAGCAGGTCAAGAGAAAAGTATATTCAAGATTCTAGTTTTAGTTGAGACTGCCAACAAATACCTAGGTATTTAACAATGTGGCGCCCTCATTATTCTTATCTTCCCTGTCAGTGTGGAGTTGTCATCATCCACTTAAACCCGCCAGGCAGAGAAGTAGTTCAGCCTTCTGTTGCTGCCCCCTGCTCCTTGTACCCAGATGCCCTGCAGGGGCCGCCACTCCTGTCCTATAGAGGCAGCCATTTCCAGTATGCACATAGGACTCCTGCAGCTCTTTCCCAATGGGGAATCCTTTTGAACAGTATTTTACTTGGAAATCCTATCTCATAGAGTCTCAGGGAAACTTAGAAGCTGTGTTTTCGTCCAAGAGTTAAAGTGTCTAGTTAACTTGGGTATCTGTACCCTATTTTATAGGCATTCAGGTCTGCATTTTCAAACAACATCTCAGTTATTTCTTATTTGAAATACTGGCCCTTTTTGTTGTTGTTATTCTTCCTTCTTGAGATCCTTGATTTATTCCAAAATTATTAGTTTAATAGCTTTATCTGGACATTTCTCTACAAATGGACAAAAAGTTATCATTTAGTGCCTCAAATCCCCATATCTAAATTCCTGATGATTTTTTCCCTTAAGGAGTCACCCATAGGTTTTCTTCAACCAGTCAGCTAATGTTTGAGGACCTTTCCTGTTATTCTTTTTTTTTTTTCAGCTTTCATTTAGTTTATTGGTACATTTTAGGGATACAGTACAGTTACATTCATTGTTAGGATCTTGTACCTCTACATGACAAGTCTTGGTTCTCATTTTTTCCCCTTGTCCCTGCCCTCCCTTCTCCCCCTCCTCCCCTCCCCATCTACAAACACTTTATTTCCATCTTTTCATTATCTCACATTTTTTTCTTTTCCCTTATTACCCTTCCCCTACCCATCCCACCTTCCCTACACCTTTAGCCCTTTCATCCCATTTCTCAATGTCAGTAATCTTATTAGGATCTTCTGTATTTTTGCAGATTATTCACACCAGAGAAACTATTCGGTATTTACACATATGTGCCTTATTTATTTCACTTAGGAGTATATCTTCCATATGTATCCATTTTCCTATGAATGAATCTATTTTCTCATTCTTTATGGCTGAGTAATATTCCATTTTATAGAAAAACCACATCTTCTTTATTCAGTTTCCAACTGATGGGCAAATAGGCTGTTTCCAAGTTTTAGCTATTACAAACTGTGCTGCTATAAACATGGGTGTGCATACTTCTTTGTGATATGATTCTTTTAGTTCTTTTGGAAAGATACCCAGCAGAGGGATGGCTGGGTCAAATGGAACCTCCAGTCCAAGCTGTTTGAGGTATCTCCATATTGATTTCCATAGTGGTTGCACCAGTCTGCACTCCCACCAACAATGGAGAAGGGTTCCTTTCTCCCCACAACCCTGCCAACATTTGTTGTTGTTTGATTTCTTGATAGCAGCCATTCTTTGTAGGGTGAGGTGGAATCTCAGTGTTATTTTCATCTGCATCTTTCCAGTGACCAGACCAGTGATGCTGAACATTTTTCATATGATTATTTGCTGCTTTTACTTCTTTGAATTTTGAAATGTCTGTTCATTTCAGATGCCCATTTTTGAATTGGGCCCTTATAGTTGGGGTGGTCTGATATTTTTTGGAAGCTATTATGAAAGGGATTGTTTCCCTAATTTGGCTCTCAGCGAGACTCTTATCTGTGTACAAGAAGGCTATTGATTTTTGGGTGTTCACCTTGTATCCAGATACTCTACTGAATCTGTCAGTTAAGTCTAGAAGTCTTTTGGTAGACTTTTTTGGGTCTTCGATGCAGAGTATCATATCATCAGCAAATAATGACTGTTTAACTTCTTCCTTTCCTATCTTTAATGCTTTAATTTCTTTCTCTTGTCTACTTGCTGTGGCTAATGTTTCCAGAACTATATCGAAGAGGAGTGGTGATAATGGGCATCCTTGTCTTGTTCCTGATTTTAACATGAAGGTTTTCAGTTTTTGGCCATTTAATATGATGTTGGCTGTTGGCTTTTCATGGATAGCCTTTATTAAGTTGAGGTAAAGACCATCTATTCCACTTTTTTGCAGGGTTTTTATCATGAATAGGTGTTGAATTTTATCAAATGCTTTTTCTGCATCTATTGAGAGGATCATATAGTTTTTGTCCTTGACTTTGTTAATATAATGTATTACATTTATTGACTTTCGTATGTTGAACCACCCTTGCATCTCTGGAATAAATCCGACTTGGTCAGGATGGATGATCTTCTTGATAATCCTCTGTATTCTGTTTGCTAGTATCTTATTAAGGATTTTTGCATCTATATTCATTAAGAAGATTGGTCTGTAGTTCTCTTTTTTAGTTGCATCTTTCCCTGGTTTGGGAATCAAAGTAATACTTGCTTCCAGGAATGAATTTGGAAGTATAGCTTCCCTTTCAATTTCATTGAAAAGTTTGAAGAGAAATGGCAGTAGAACCGAATCCCCTGATCTCGGCTAGCCTATGGCAGGTCCTCATGACTCAGACTGACCTCAGTCCACAAGGCCTAACTTGAGTTTCCCAAACCACAGGGTTGAACTCCACTCAGTTCTATTACAGATTTCCCCTGCCCTTTCTTTAAAGATGTTCAACATTGGGAGCTCAGAAAACTACCCTTCATGAGCACCTATGCCTCTGCAGAGTTGGGTCCAAGGACTGGCCCAATCGTAGGTTTGAGAATGGGGGGACAGGGGAGAGCAGGTCGTGGGGGCATTTCAAGGGTGCCCGCGCGCCTACCTTCCTTACTGGATCTGATGGAGCGCAGTCGGGGAGGTCATGCATCCGCCGGGTGGGCCCAGGCAGGCAGCTGGAGAGACCTTCTGCAGGGTCCTTGGGTCCTTCCCTGTTAATCTTGATTTTCTTAAGCAGAGGGTCCTCTCTGATTTTTTTTTTGTTGTTGTTTTTTTGAGACAGGGTGTCACTATGTAATTCAAACTGCTTTGGAACTCACTGTGTAGCCCAGGCTGGCCTCAAACACACAGCGATCCTCCTGCCTCAGCCTCCCAAGTGCTGGGATTACAGGAGTGCACTACCACACCCGGCCTTCTCTGATTTTTAAATGTGCACTGTCTTCTATTCTGAACCCTTTTTCTGAAATCCCTACCGATTATTTTCTTTGCTCAAATGATTTTCCTTCTTCCCTTTTCTTATTTTGCTGTCACAAACACATCTTCTGCATGCTATGCCGTTAAGTTTCTTGAGGAGAAACCCGGCCTCCCTGTTAGGCAGCTGCACTCATTGCTCCCTCTCATGCTGAGTGCTGCATCCACACCAGGTCTCAGTAGTGCAGCTGTGTAACCCAGAGGGTGGCTGAGGGCAGCAACCAGCAAATGTCATTACTCCACGGAGAAGCGTGGGCTTCTCACTGCTACTCCTCGCTGACAGTGACTGGGCAAGCTTAGCTCTGGGCAGTAAGAAAAATAATTTCCATCTCATCGGGTTGCTCTCAGGAATGAATATGGAAATCCTAAAAGCACTGAAGATTCTTGAACTTGGCGCGTATTTAATCATCTCTAGAGTTTCACATAGCACGCTCTTCCTTAAAGAAGCCTTCTCCGGCCTCCAGTATCTCAGACAGGACCCCCAAGTCATTCCTCTCCCCGTGCTCTACTATATGCTTTGGCACAGGGCCTGTTTTCTAGCCTTGTTTGTGTCTCTGCTAGAGCCTTGCACAGCTCATTGTTGTACTTGCTGATACATTCCCAGAACCAAGCACATTATGTGGTTCGTGTTAGGCATTTTACAAATATTTGTTTAAAGTATGAGTGAGTCTATGACACAATCACATAAGTTAATTTTTTGAGATTCTTTACCTACAAACAATGACTCTTGAGTATCAGGCTGTGTAGAATTGATGATCTGTGGCCCAGGAAGACCACCTTTTTCTTATTTCTACATAAATCTGAGAGCAAAGAGAAGAAAAAAGTCTCAATGGATAGAATGTTGTCGGTCAGATTTTCTTTTTGCTTGGGAAAGAGTCTGGACGTGATGTTTTTTATATTGCATTCATTTCCTATTACATGAATAATAGAAAGGGAATTAAACTGATGGTCAAAATTGTTTTTATATAATATAAAATAACTCTTATCTGGTGATAATTTTCTGACCCAGATAGTCCTTTTTTTTATACGGGATGCTCTTTTAAATCATCAGACCTTCTGAAAAGAAAATTATGATTCTAAAAACAGTATTTCATCTGGTAATAATTTCTTGGAAAACCCACAGGAGATGAGTTATTACGGTTTATGTCAAAAGAATGCCTTTTTTTTTTCATGTGTGCTAAATTGCATTTAAAATATTGCCTTACTGAACTGTAGTCTGTATTAATTTCATCTGTAGTTTTCATTCTGCTGTTGACTTTTGGAAAAACCAAAGGTGCCCTTAGGTGATAAGCATCTGAATTTGCAAAATTATCTCAGGTGACACATTCTTCTGTTAATAGAGAAAACATCAGAACGTGATATTAGCAGCACAGCCCCTGGGAACCAGAGCAGCATCTTCCCTGTGTGGGCACTGCTGCCTGGTGCCCGTGCACCCTGCCACGGTACCTATTCCTCAGCCTTCTGCTCCGAGGGTGGCCGGCATCAGTTGATGATGATAACACATCCCTTAAAAGTCGTGAAAGCAGGCTGTATTTAATGTCTAATCATTTTCAGTGAACAAAGTCATCTTTTTTTCTTAATCACTTAGAGGGCTGTTCCCTGAGCGCAGTGCAGTTATCTGATCATTTTGAGTGCCCAGTCCTTAGCTGTTATGTAACATCTTTAGCAAGGGTAGGTTGTGATTTATCGATGGACTTGATGTTCTTAGGGAATCCATGGGGATCAGTAGATTAGAGTGGGCTTTCTGACATCGTGGCAGGTGCTACCTTAGAATTGTAAGCTATCAGATATTTTTCTTATTTGGCTCATTTCTTGACTCTTCCAACCTCAGATTCCCAGCTTTGACAGTTATTTAGTTAGTGAGGCCATGTCATCGATCATTGGCTTTATTTCTTCTGGTTATGGGGAATGCAGAACATCCTGTTTTATCATTTCAGCCCTAGCACTAGCTGAATATTGGCTCATTCTTCCACTGACTTCATTCTCTTCTGTTATTTCCCTGGCCTCTCAGCTTTAATAGGTGCCAGGGCTCTGTACTGGCTGTGGGAGTGAGGTACAGGGTGGATAAGATAAAGTCATTGTGTGTAAGCAGGTACCCCAAGTTTCTGGAGTTATTCATTGGATGCACATGGTAGCCACTTGGAAAATGTGATGCTGAATCAATGAGGCAAAAGCCAGTGAGCTGAGCTGTAGCCATCTCATGGGAGATGGATCCCCTTAGCCTGGGTGGGGCGGATGAGGGATCCACTGGCTCTGCTCATCTGCAGCCCAGGTGAAGCAGGTGCGGAGGTGCCCTTAGTGCTCACTCCCTAGCCCTCTTGCTCCTCCCCCGCCATGGATGACACATACCTGCAGCAGCATTAAGCAAATGGGGCAATGGTGAACTTCCGGAGCTGCATCCTCATTAATTGTAAATGGCTGCTCTCCTGTCCTTTTGTCTGCCATTCTGTCTCTAATGGGATTGTGCTAGTGTGGCATCAGATTCATTTCCACAAGGGGATTTTACTGAAGCTAAGCTAACTCATATTCCCAAGAAAAAAGTCCCTGTGTTTTAATTCATATCTCAGTTTGTGGGTCTTAATAATTCCAATTTGCTTGTAGAGTTTTCTAAAGATATAGTTCTTGGTGAAATGCTCTATTTTCAAGCACGTTTCTATGGGGAGGACTTAATATGGTAATAGACATCTTAGTAGAGCAATTTAAGGTGGTGATTTTCAAATGATGATGTCAGACTTGTTGATCAGAAAGAGCGCTGGCAATTAAGAGTATGGGAATAAAGAAAACAAGAGATGGCTTCTAGGGAGTGAGGTTGCTGGGGAAAACTTTTGCGCATTTGCTTACATAAAAGAGACAAAATATTAATTTACTGTAGCTTTTCTTGAATTTTGTGGCATTTCGGGGCTTCTGATGAAGGATGTATTCACAGAGTAGAATTGGTTTGACTTCTGTCATTGTTGGCTGGTGAAATATCATAGTGGTGACAAGTGAGAGATGTGGGTTTGTCCTGTATGTGATAAGGCTCACTTCCGCAACTGTAAAGTACTTAGGCTTGAATTTGATTAGCACACAGCTTCCTGGCAACTAGAGACAGGACAGGCAGAATTTCAGGCAATTCAGTCCGTGCTCTAAATTTTTCATTTTATTTTAAAATATCTATGTACTTGTGCTTTTACCAAGCCAAGATATAAATTGGTGAATTGGTGAGTTGTTTACATCCTTTAAAAAAAAAAATCTGCTTATCTTATTTCACAATAGAAGAGAGTTAATGAGCAATGGAATGTCCAAAACAAAACGTGCAGCGGAGAGTGAGAAGCAGCACCAGCAGGTCAGGTTAACACCAGATGAGGATTAGTAGCCAGATTAGGAAGGACCCAAAATGAACAGAAGTCATTTCCAAACTGTAGGGACCTATACATTACAGCAGCAGCAATACTTGTCCATCTCCAACTGTGCGTATTTCATTTCTTCTAGAAAGAAAAAAAAGGTTTGTTGAAATTGCTTTCCGGCGCCTCCACCAAACGGAAGCCCCGAGTGTCGCCTCCAGCGTCCCCCACCCTGGAAGTGGAGCTGGGGGGCAGCGAGTTGCCTCTGCAGGGAGCGGTGGGTCCCGAGCCGCCGCTAGGGGGCGGCCACGGCAGGGCCAGCTCCTGCCCCATGGACGCGGATGGCCCGGTGCAGGCCGCGGCGGGCGCAGCCCTGGCCCAGGACGCTTTTCACTGGAAGACCAGCTCCCTGGACTCCGCAGTGCCCATCGCCCCGCCTCCTCGGCAGGCGTGTTCCTCCCTCGGTCCTGCCGTGAGTGAGTCTAGGCCGGTTGTTTGTGAAAGGTGAGTTCAGCGTCGTTCCAGAAGAAAACTAAGAAATGAATAGCAAGGTTTATGCAGGAAAATGTGTTCTCCTATGTAAGATGTTTTTCTGCATCCTCCTAAATTTTCCTTAGCTGAGTTTGTACTAACAAGCTTTGACATTATTCAGCTGCAGCCAGGTACTCTTCTTTTTCCCTTCCACGTCTTCCCGGTTAGCTCTCCTTCCAGTGTTTGCTTCCCTTTATTTGCTCCAAACACTCCAGAATGGCATCCAGAGGAAATAGTCAATCCCTGGAAACGCATCCATACTTCCTTCTTTCTTCTCTTCCATCACCAGCCTGCTGCTGCACCCCACCCCACCCCGTTCCTTTGCTTTTACTGAAAGCTTACATCATTACTCACCGATGATAAAGCACTGGAAAACCCTGCCAGCCCAGAGAATTCTTTTCTTCTTCCTCTTGACTGAAAAGTCGCTGAGTTCTCAGTCTTAGATCCGACTCTTATCCTGACCCAGTGACTTGGTTCAGTTACACTCAGAATAATGAGCTCTATGCTGTGATTCTGGCCTTGAATAATGATTACAAATGGGAGCAGTCCTGTTTGATTCAGCCAGTGTGGTTCCAGAAGTGTGTTAGGAAAGGAAATATACTTAATAAGACAAGTGTCTGCTAGGATTGTATAAACTGAAAATGAAGTACTGTTCATTGCACAAGAAAACATCATGAACTACACTAAAAACAGTGTACTATTTCCACATAACAAAAAAGCATAAACATGTAAGTGTCATCTGTTTTATTGTTTTTGAAAGCTTCCTTCCTGCTAAACCTGCATCTCATAAATAAAGTAAATTTCTAATTCATGGTAGCATTTTCTGTATTGCAGATTTGAAATCTTACCATTATACTTTAAAATGACTTAAATTCATCTTACCCTACCTTTGTATTTCAGATAGAGACGTTTGCACTCACCAAAACCTGAAGCCTTCATATGGTTTTGTGGCACTTTTTTTTTAAACCTAAAAATAAAGTATAAAAAAATAGAAAACAACCTGTGTGCATTAAGTGGAAAGTAGACAATTTTTGTTTTTATAGTCAGGTAAAAGCAATTTTCTCTAGTTCTGATCCTTATATGCTCTTTAGAAAGCTTTGAAATTGTGTTGTGATTTCGCTTAATGTTTTATTCTGAGGGTCTGCCTTTTTCCTGCAGCATTCCCCTGCTTTCCAGGGAGCTAGTCCAGTTACCTGTGCCCTGTCTTTTGGTCAGAAGGGCGCTCTCTCTCCCCCTGGGCATTGATTTGCAGCAGCAGCCCCTCCTCCCATGCCCAAGGGGTCTCTTCTCCCTTCCCTGTCATATGTGGTATTTGTGTGACTGCTGCCGGTGACGGTTCACTCTGCCCAGACTCTCCCTGGGCTCTGCTGGGGCCCTGCTCCTCCCTCCCCCCATTACGAATTCCTTTTCAGTGGCCAGATGTCCCTCGTCTCTTTGGTTTCTGCATTCCAGCCCTTTCCTCTTAGAGGGGCCGTTTCCAACAGCAGCCTCCTGCTGTTCAGTGCATTTGAAAAGGAGAAATCACCCAGGCAGACAGGTGATGGCCTTTCAGGGAGGGGGGGTGCACATTAGATTGGGGACATGGAGAACTTAATGAAGGGACAGATGGGCACAGGCACTTGGAATTCTCTGGCAGGTTTTTATATAACAATTGCAATTTTTAGCAGTGGGAAGGGGGCCTTTGGAGAAGATTTCTGCCCAAGTTTACATATTTATAATCCGTATGTTCAGTGGAATATTAAATATAATAGCCCAACCAACTTTTCACAGCCCTTTGCCTTCATACAGTGGCAGTAATACTATTTACTTAGCTTGGATTCTTAAGTCTGCCTAGCTGAAAAACAACAGGAAGCTAGTGCAGGAAAACATTCTATTATCCACTGGGAATGAAATTTTTGGTTGATAGGAAGCTACCAAGTATATAATTTAGGGATTACCTGTTTGTGTCTTTAAAAAATTCTAACACAGTAAAAAGTACTAATTGCCTTAAATAAAGGAACGGTCAACTTTCACAGTAGTATGATTCAAAAAGCATTTGGAGTCCTTGTTATTCCTTGGCTTACAATGTAAACATCAACAACTCTTCCCCTGACGAAATGCTGGGTTCTTTTGGTAGAAATATTACTGGCAGAATTTCATAGAAATATGTTTCAGTGGCTAATATTGGGATAATATGAGATAGGGTTCATCTATAGACTGTAATGAGAGCAAACATAAAGTCTTCTCTCAAGCCACGACCACATCCCATAAGTCAAAAGTTAAAAGAAGAAAAATGAATAAAAAATGGTGACTGGGGCCGCCGGTGGCATCAGTGGAAAGATGCATTCACATGGTATCAAGACGTAAGCAGTCTCATAATAAGGAAGGACGGACCCTGAAGGGTGCTGACAGGTCTCAGTGGCAGCTGAGCGAATTCTGGGCGGGGGGGGGGGGGGGAG